TGACGCAGCTCGTGCACTCTTTCATACTTCCTGAGAAAGACCTTTGCTATACCCCTCGGCATTTGTAAGTCTTGAGCCACACAGTGTGCCAGGGCATACTCTGCTGAAGTGGTGAACATATCTTGCTGTACCTCACATGTCACGCCATACCGACTCTTATGGCCATTAGCACGGTGGGCCATAAATTGGTCAAATTGGTCAAATGTCATGTCCGGTTCTGGTTGGATTTGCCGCACTGCCGCATCTTCGTTGTTTTCATGATAAGGCGCAAGTCGGTTGAAATGATGTACAATTCAAGCTTTACCGCGTGGTACCTTCTGAGTCCTGTAGAGAACATCGTTTATGGCTTCCAGAACTTTATATGTATACAGGGTGACTTCGAAGTTGAGTCATTTATTTTAACAGTGAGTAGATCTGATCAAAAGAAATGTTTTTTTCCTTTACCATTTTTCTCGTAAAATTAAAGTAACAAAGTTATAGCCCTTTGGAAGAGTACCGCCCTGTCTCAATAATAATATTATGTGCTCGTGTTTGGCAACAACGGATATAATCCGCCTTATCGATTAATCGCATCGGAAACAAAAAAGCGAAAGAATTTGGAACGATGTTTTTACAATTATTTTATTCAGTTGTATACAGTCAGTGTCAGTCGGTAACGCGTGAGTGAATAGTGGTGTCTGTTGCGTGGCTCAAACGAAATAAAAAATGGCACATGTTTACGAAAATGCTGAACTAGTGGACATGATTCATATTTACACGGCATCACGGATTTATGCGGATCGGTTTCCCAATCGAGTGCAATCAACCCCTCGTGCCTTTGTTAATGTAGTACAAAGGGCTCATGAATCAGGTGACTTAAGACCTCACAGGGGAGGGCATGCCGGTGCTCCAAGACCGCACGATCAAATACAGGCCCGCACTGAAATACTTGTCGGGAGGATACTTTATAAAACAAGGTAACATTTTTTTTTATTTTTTTCTATTTTTACACACATATATTGGTTTATCTTCCTTCTACAATCATTATCTGAAAATTAATGACTCAACTTCAAAGTCACCCTGTATATACGAGTATATATATATATAAGCTCAGGCGACAGCCTTTTTCACCTCTTTGGGTCGTAAGGCCAAACCGTATCAACACGAACCTGGCTATGGATGGCGTCCATTCCTCTGCGCAGGTCACTTACGTAGTTTTCTCCGGCAATATCAGCTCCTGGTGGACAGCCAAACTTAAGATCGCATGGGAGACGAAGTTCTCTTCCCATAACTATTTGAGCCGGGGTCTCTCCCGTGCTTTCGTGAATCGACGATCGGTAAGCTAATAAGAAGAGATGAAAAAAACTATTCCAGTCTCTTTGATGGCTAGAGTCTACCTTAGCCAAATACCAGTTAATGGTTATATTCATGCGCTCCACCATTCCATCTAACTGCCGGTATAAGGCAGTAGTCCTGGTCTTGTTAATCCCAAGGATTTGATACATATTTTGGTACAGAGTTGAGTCGAAATTGTGCCCTATCGTAGAGGCTTCCTGATTTGGTAGGGCCTATGCCTCAACCCACTTCCTGGAGTAATCAATTACCACAATGATGTATTTATTCCCTGCTTCACTTTCTGGAAAGGGTCCCGCCACATCAGTAGCAATCCTTTCAAAGGGGCTCACCACGTTGTATTGGCGCATCGAATCTTTTGGTTTCCATTGCGGTCCATTACTTGCCGCACCCACAACGCATTTTCCGCACCAGTATTTCACGTCGGCCTTGCTATTGGTCCAGTAAAGTCTTTCCCCCACTTTTCCCAGGATTTTTTTAACTCCAAGATGACCTCCTGACACACCGGAATGGATTTCTTCTAGCAGTTTCGGGATCCGTTATCTGGGGATACCGACATGCCTTCTTTCCTCTTTGCCGTCGTGGTCCATCATTTTAAGAAGCAAGAGTTCGTCGTCCATAACTAGAGAATTCCATTGCGCCAATATGATTTTATGGTAGGGAAATACTTGGCAACTTCTTTCCAGGCTGGTTTCCGTTCTTCTTTCATCCAGTTCAGAATTATTTGTAGATCCGGGTCGCCCTCTTGGTCTTTAATGAGGTCTTCAAATTGCCAAGTATCACTAACGATAGTGGTTCTTAATACTTGGCCATCTTTCTCCTCTGCCCGCTGGCACTGCCTACAATCCTCTAAACAGGGTCTCCTGGCTAAGGAATTTCCATCGATTTTTCCCGCTCGATATTCGATGTCGCAGTCAAACTCTTGCAGCCTCTTTATCCACGTTGCAACTTAACCCTCTGGCTTCTTAAGCTGGAGAAGCCATTTTAAAGTTGCGTATCGGTCCGGAGTAAGAATTTTCTGCCATAGAGGTATCTGTAGGAATGTTCCATTACCTTTACGATGGCCAGCAACTCCCTCCGGGTAACGCAGTAGTGACCCTCTGGTTTGGACAGAGTTTTGCTGAAATAACCAATGACCTTTTCTTCTTTGTCTTCGTGGACATCTGGCATGCGGATAGCTGAGTATAGGGGCGCTCGTTAAAGCTTTTTTGAAGTGGGTAAAAGCTTGTTGGCGACCCTGTTCCCATTGAAATTTGCTTTCACCTGCTGTCAGCCTGGTGAATGGCTTTGCGATGTTAGCAAATCCTGCCACGTAACGTCGGTAATATGTACACAATCCTAAGAAGCTGCGTAGCTCAGGTTTGTCTTTAAGAATTGGCCATTATTTTACAGTCTGGATTTTCTCCTTGTCTACCGCGACTCCCTGCCTGGAAACAACATGGCCAAGATACTGCATAGCTCTTTGAAACAAGTGGCATTTCTTTGGGCTTAATTTGAAACCAGAACCTCGTAGCCTCAAGAAAACTTCCTCTAGGTTCTTCATGTGGTCCCCAAATGACTTTCCTACCACAATAGTCCTCACATTGAACTGCCATAATCCGGTGCCCACCGTGAATGCTGTCTTCTTCCGATCTTCAGGGGCCAATTCTACTTGCCAGTATCCGCTTTTTAGATCTACGGTGGCAAACATTTTTTATCCAGCCAGGGTATCCAGAGTGTCATCAATACGCGGTAGAGGGAAGCTGTCCTTCTTGGTCACGTCGTTTAACATTCGTTAGTGCTCACACAATCTGGTTGAACCGTCTATCTTTTTAATCAAAACTACCGGTGAGGTCCATTTACTGTTGGACGGTTCAATGACTCCCTCATTGGCCATACTGTCTACGAACTTGTTAGCCTACTATCTTATAGCAAGTGGGAACCTTTTTGCCATCTGCCGGATGGGACGGGCATTTCCCGTATTGATATTGTGCTGGACTATATTGGTTCTTCCTTTCTGCCCAGTATCGAATACATCCGTATATCTATGTATTAGATGTTTCAGTTTTTTTCTCAGATCTCTGCCTGATGACGATATTAGTCCTTCCAGTTCTTTAGAAATGACCCCTGAGCTTTCCACAGCTGGCACATTTCGAATGATTGCAGAGACTGCGCAGCAGTGTCCCAACTCCGAGCCCTTCTTCAAGGACACAGAGTAATGACTGACATTCATTAGCCTCACAGGAATGGTTTTATCGGCACGCACAAGGGCCTTTGCAACGGCTATCCCTCGGCCAATAGCCTCGTCATGCATCCTAGGTATATATATAACTTCGCTTCATTCTGGGATCCCGGTGTTTTCAGGCAATAGAACTCGTACGGTTCCATTCCTATCCCGATGTAAAACGACCTCCTCATTGTTGACTTTCAAGATTCCTTGCTTAAAGTTCAACTCGAAGCCCTGTGTGTCCATGATGTCCGTTCCGATGATTACCTCGTCCTCAATATCAGCTGCTATCACCAGATGTTCGAATGTAGCTTTTCCTGTTCCAATTGCGATTTTTACTTCACCATACACGTTTGCTCGGTCTCCCGTCACCGTTCATAGGCGCCATTTGGATGGTCGAATCTTCGCCGATCGTTTCACCACGTCGGGACTTATAATAGTCTTTGTCGCACCTGCATCTACAAAAGCATCTACAAAAACATTATTAGACTGATATTTAAGCGAGGAGACTTGGGCGGTATTAGCTGATGGGGCTTGTTGGCTACAGTTCGACGATAGCCCGTCCACATCGACCTCCCTTGGTTTTCTGGATTGGCGGGATGGAGACTAGCACCTTTAGGACAGTATTTCCTAATATGCCCTTTTTACCACATTTCCAACATGCCAACTTGCTGTTCTGGCGGCGACGTTCACCATCAAGCTCTAACAATGCGCTTGACGGACTTTTCGAACTCGTTATCTCCTGGTACCACTTGGCGAACTCGGACCTGGCTTTTATTTGTGTTCTTAGCGGCTTCGAATTCTAAGGCCCAAGTTAGCGCATCTATTAGCTTAGGTGGATGTGCTAGTAGTAAGGCTTGCCTCATTTCATCATCACGAAGTCCATCCAGGAATGCTTGAACTGTCAATCGCTCCATTATTCTTTCCTGGACATCGGAATATGCTAATTGTACCAACCGCGCAATATCCGTTTTGAGCTCCTGCAAGGACTCGGCTGACTTCTGGACCCGATTCTTTAGTTTAGCATTGTAGACATGTTCTAAATGTGACTGGTGGTATCGCATCTCCAAATTTCCTACTAGCTGTACGTAGACCTCCTCTTCGGGTGATATTCTTTGGTGAATAGCTGCAGCATCTCCTCGCAGTGCCAAAGTGACAGTTGCCTTTTCGGTCGATGACCAACCATTTGCATTCGCGGCTGCCTCAAGCTGATGCCGGCAGACATTCCAATGTATTGTACAATGAAATTATAAAATTGCGGCGGTTTCATTCGCAGATGACCAGCTGACCCAACAAAAACTCCAAACCTCACTTGATTTTTCCAACGGAAGTTCACGCTGTCGTTTTTGATATCTAAAACGGCAACCTTCGTTTTTCCAACTCGCAAGATTTTTACAAAATTTTATCTTCCAGTTCTTTTCTAATTTGGCGGTATTTTCCAAAAACCTCTCTCCTAATTTCTCTATACTTTCGTTTTTCCTTCTAGGTTTTCACAATTTTCCACGAGCCTATTTTCTAACTTGGTCGAAAGGTTTTGCAGCATTAAACCAATATCCCCTGCACCGGTAAAAATGAAAATATCCGGGTCCTCGCCTTCCTCAATCGGTGCTTTACGAAGTCGCTCTTGTAATTCAGCGTTCTTTCCAGCCGTGTCGCACTCTCTTTCCTCCAGCTCTCTTTGTAAATCGGCAATTTTCAAATCCATCAATCGCGCCATTCTTCCTTCACTGATCGTCCAATTTATTTTCACTAAGTGTCCAATAATCCACATTCCACTTTTGACACAAATGTAGCGTTTTTATGGGTTCTTTTGGGTATTGAATTAAAACACTCGATTCCACAGAAAGAAATGCACTAATTTATTTATAACACAATTAACTTTAACTTAACTATATAAAACATTTATGTAGATACACCACTATTTATGTCAGACTACCTATGTGCGAATTACAATGTCGCGCTATTCACTTCAACTCCACACTCCGCTCCAGCCGTCAGCTTATACAATATGCCGCAGCACAGGTACTCGTTAATTAGAGAAAGTTCCTGTACGCCACATGGCAGCCACTCCAGAACCTTCGGGGTCAGTCTCGCAGCTCGCTTCGATGCCGAAGGAGATTCCATTTCAACGTTCCCAACAGATGGTGCCAGTAGTACCATTCTTGTTACAATATAGAAATAACTGAAACCGGACACGCATTCATTCGTTTTGCATCATGTATTTATTGACTCATTCAAATATACGTGTTAAAAAGTAAAAAAAAATATCTTTGTAATTCAATAAAGTGATATGAAGAAATTTACGTGTGTCATCCATTAAACCAAGTGAACTGCAAACAATGAGAACTTAAGAACTTTGGGATTCAAAATTAGAGTATATAAGACTAACAGTTGAAGTTTAGGTTGACTCTTTTCAGTATCTATCAAAAAAATTGATTTGTCTCCCAACAGTTTGCATTTTTGAATGTTGTTGTTAGGTATACAGTTCTGTTAACAAACTTGAGACTTTTTTTTTATACTGGGACAGAATACTCAAAAATACAACAACTGGAATTAAATAAACCAAATTCCTCAGCAGCTGTCCAAGAGTTGCAGTAGGGGATCGTTATTGATGCAGATGCACTCACAAGATAAAGCCCCAACGCTGAGATATGATGCCAGTGACTATATTGTTAGATTTTGATAAACACAATACCGAATCTGCACTATTAAACACGTAATCACGACTCGCTGGGCCACGACAGCCAAACATCCGAGCGCGCTGGAGGTCGTACCATTTCTGCCGTCGCCTCCCAACCCGACCGATAGCGGTCGGCCCAGCTGACACTCGTAGATAAAATTTCGAGCAGATTCAAGGAGTTCCTAAAACGGCCAATCCTGCGGGAACTTCGTTCTCGAAGTCTCTCTTTTTTTTAATAAGTGGACAAGGAAGGAAATAATAGTTGGACTAACTTGAAGTAAATTTACTGATTATCAAATACAACCCAATTTAGATATTCAAAAACATTCAAATAACACAACTTAATCGATCTTCTATCCTTCGGTCTTGCACAGATCTTCCGAGTTCTCCCTGCGATTTAAAAAAAAAACTCATTCATTGACTTCATGATTACAGATGGTCAGAATATTTTCCTACTCACACATAACAAGCATCCGTTGGACTAAAATACTGCACCCCTTTTTTTTGCATGCTTACAGATGGCGGACATACAAGCTTCCACAATAATAATAATAATAATAATTAACGTCTTTTATTTGTAATATTCTTACAGGAGGCGAGATTTAGATTATATATCTATTCTACCATCTAACCCCCTTAACAATACGAGATGTAAAAAAAAAAGAATTTGTTGAAAATTAATAGGTACCTGTATATAACAACGAATAATCCAAGTAAATACATAAGGAAAATATGAGGACATTTATGGGTTACAACCGATTTCGCTGCTGATCAAGAAGAACTTCTTTCACTTTTTTCTTGAATTTGGATAATGGATTGGTTTCTTTTAAACTGCGGTCTAAAGAATTATATGATTTGATCGCATTGTAAATGTATGAATTCTGAAATAGTGACGTGCTGTGGCATGGAATTGAAAATGTCTCTCTATATCTAATATTAATAATGTCACATCATACAAAAACCTACGGCCTCTCAACATTTTTCACGGTCCAGGCGTAAAAGCTGGCAACACATAGACAAAACGTAAAGCCTACACGCCTTCAACGCAATGAAAAGCGTATAAGTTCTTGAAGTTTCAACACATAATGCAAAGCGTATAAGCTTTCAACGTTTTACATCGTGCAAAGCGTAAGAACTTTCAACACATAACGCAAAGCGTATAAGCTTTCAAAGTTTTACATCATGCAAAGCGTAATAGCTTTACAACACATAACGCAAAGCGTATAAGCTTTCAACGTTTTTACATCGTGCAAAGCGTAAGAGTTTTCAACACATAACGCAAAGCGTATAAGCTTTCAACGTTTTACACCGTGCAAAGCGTAATAGCTTTCAACACATAACGCAAAGCGTATAAGCTTTAAACGTTTTACATCGTGCAAAGCGTAAGAGCTTTCCACACATAACGCAAAGCGTATAAGCTTTCAACGTTTTACACCGTGCAAAGCGTAATAGCTTGCAACACATAACGCAAAGCGTATAAGTTTTCAACCTTTTACATCGTGCAAAGCGTAAGAGCTTTCAACACATAACGCAAAGCGTATAAGCTTTCAACGTTTTACATCGTGCAAAGCGTACCAGCTTTCAACACATAACGCAAAGCGTATAAGCTTTCAACGTTTTACACCGTGCAAAGCGTAATAGCTTTCAATACATAACGCAAAGCGTAATAGCTTTCAATACATAACGCAAAGCGTATAAGGTTTCAACGTTTTACACCTTGCAAAGTGTACAAGCTTTCAACACACAAAACACACAGGAATACTAGTAATAGTCAGCAATTTCCTAACACGTACCATTTAGTATTCTTTTTACAATTATCATCATCTAACCTTAGGTCTTCATCCAACTTTTCCAATAAATCGGGAAGATCCATTGCCAAAGACCAATCGTTCGGCCATCCTCTTAATTGTTCCTTTGCAGCTTTTGTGATGGTCGATTTTCCGACGCGTTTCAATTCAAAGCGACCTTCTCTGGTTTTGCCCATGACTTCGAATGGTCCTTCAAATTCGTATCTTAGCTTCCCTTGATGCATTTTGTCGTCCCGGTGCATTAGGACGAAGTCTCCTTTTTTAAATTCAATACTGTTCCTGCGATTTTCGTTGCAACCGATTTTTCTATTTGTCGAAGTTTCTAAGTGGTCATTTATTCTCTTCTGATCTAGTTCCATGTTTTTTAGTGGATGTAGATCAATGTTCAAATTGTTAAGCAGGCTTTGGATCAACGGAGTTGAGCTATCGACTCCAATTAATGCTCTCAGCGGAGTAGTTGTAATCGCTTTTTGGACAGTAGTATTCAGTACGAGTTGTATTTTACAAAGTGCTTTCGGCCATTCTTTGTCAACCTTGGTTTCGATTCTAAGCAGGTCCATTATGGTACGCATGTATCTTTCGATTTGACCGTTCAAGCGATGAATATCAGGAGTGGTGTAATGATAACTAATACCAAGTTCGTCTAAATACTATGGCAAGCTCAAATTTTTGAAATTTTTTCCAGCATCCATTATAATCTTTCCTGGTGTTCCAAACAGAGATATGAACGACTGCAACGACAATCTTGTTTCTTCAGTTTTCATGGTTGAGAGGCTGCAAAACGCAGTACTTTGTATACGCATCAATTAGTACCAGGACGTGTCTGTATCCCTCCGCTGATTTTTCTAGTGGTCCCAAACAGTCTGCATGTAAAATTTGCATTGGAATTTGTGGCTTTTCGACGTGTGAATCAAAGCCTTGTAGTGCTCCTGATCATGTCTTTTTCACCGCACAAATCAAGCAGTGTTTTATGTATTTTTTCACAAACGATCGAAGGCGAGGGAACCAGAAATGCTTTTGGATTGATTCAATAGTTTTGTCTATGCCGACGTGGCATTGGTCGTCGTGGAATATTCGTAACAGTCCAAGTCGGCTTTGCCGTGGTACAAATGGCTTTGTAGTACGAGTACCATCAGGAGCAGTGAATACGTAATGTAAGATCCCGTCCTTGACTGTATATCGCGATTTGTTAAGGGTACCTTCCTTTGCTTCGTTGATTAGTTGAAGTATGTCAGCATCACCCCGTTGTTCTACATGCAACCAGTTGTCGTTTGCATTTAATCGTCTGACTACTGGGTTCCGGCTTAGATAGTCGACATGTGGAAGTGAGCTACCCCTCCGATACGCGATAGTGAAGTTAAAGTCCTACATGTATATCCACCATCTGGCTACCCGGGGAAGAATATCTTTCTTGGTAGAAGTGGATTTAATTGCGTTGCAATCAGTTATTAGAGTAAAATGAATACCAAGAAGATACGTGCTGAAATTTCTCAAAGCGTTGACGACTGCAAGCGTTTCTAGCTCGTACGAATGGTGATGTTCTTCGTATTTGTTAGTGCGTTTACTGAAGTATCTGATTATTCGTAGATTACCATCTTTCTTTTGTAAGAGTACCGCTCCATATCCCATAGAGCTGGCATCAGTGTGCAACTCTGTTGGCAGTGTGGAGTCGAAAATCGCTAGCAGTGGCTTAGAAATCAGACAATCAATGACATACTTTCTGGCTGCTTCTTGTTCATCTGTCCACAAAAATGGTTCCCTTACCTTTGTTAATTTTGTAATGCATGCAGTACGTGTTGCGAATTCAGGAATAAATTTTATAAAATAACCAGCCGAGCCCATGAACTGTCTTGCCTGTTTAACTGTGGTTGGCGTAGGAGACTTGACAAGCGCCTCAACTTTGCGGCTGCCAGGTGGAATATCATCAGCTGATATCTCTCTCCCCAAATATTCCAAACTATCTTGGAAGAAGTGACATTTTTTAAATTCTACGAGAATCCAACTCTCTGTAGGGCTTCTAGTACCTGTCCAAGAGAATGTAGTCCGTTTTCAATTGTCTCAGAAGGTATGAGTACGTCATCCAGATAGACAAGAGCCACCTTATCCTTCAGGTGGCCTAGGGCATTATTTATGGACCTCTGGAACACAGCTGGAGCATTAGCTAGCCCAAATGGCATTCTCAGATATTCATAATGCCCGTCGGGTATAACGAAGGCAGTTTTCTCAATC